GGGGGGGGCAGCTTTCCCTCACCCGACCATCCAGACAAATTGCAACCACTAAAACATTTTTAATACAGTTAGTGTCAGTCCTAAGCCTGTATAAATTATGTCCCAGAGAAATATTGGTAAATTGTAGTAGACTAAAAGACCACCCTGCAGAACAGTTGTCAGACAGGTCTGATGGTAGACCATTAAGTAGAACAGAAACATTGCGGGAGACCATCAAGTGGGCTGGCACCGAATTATCTGTGCGACTATCTATAGGAGATGCTTCTTGTGAGCCAGGCACTGGCATGAATAAACGACTGCCGCTGCACTGGGTTATATTCTTTGCTAGACAGACATTGGCACGAATGTGCTCCTGCCACTGTATTAAGTCATATTCTTTGCTAGACAGACATTGGTATGAACTTACAACTGCCATTGCACTGGGTTATATTCTGCACTACACAGATATATTGGCATGAAGATGCTATTGCCACTTTTCTAAGTCATAGAGCATACTACTGCCACTGTTATGAGTTACCAGCAACTTAGAGTACTGTCAAAAAGCAATAGTCACAAACCTCTCATAAGGATAAGGGCCCAGGTATTTATCCATCTCTTGTTTATTGTCCTGAAACTTTTCCATCTCAGCTTCACTGACTTCATCCATTTGAATTTCTGAAAAGCAGAGTATAAATGTACGAAAAAGTATGAACACAAAAATTTTACTCACAGTCTCAGATGAACAAGAGGTTAAAATTTTTCAAATACAGTGGAATCTGTTAACTTTAGTTTTAGTTTTAGTAAGGTTTTACAGCCCTCGCAACTGCATAAGGTCATATGAGCCCCAAGGGGTGGATGTCAACAGAAAAGTCCATACGGGGAATCAGGCTTACTCAGCTCACCTCTCTAGCCTCAACAGCACAAAGTCTGCTTGGACTATCAAGGCACCCCAGAAATAGCAGTTCACAAGAGAGCGACAAACATACAAAAAAGTAGAGGGAAAATGAAGATAGAAAGGAAGAGCAAAGAAACATCGGCAGTTCCCCCTATATGTTATTCCGGCACAGTATGAACATGACAGTTATAAATCAGCCCATTTATAATTCTACTGTGCATAAGAACATGTTAATATCCCCCCTTTGGGAATGGCCTAAAGCAGGGCTCCCCTTTTCAGGTCAACTTAAGAGATTCCTTCACCCTTTGGTATTCTATTCTATGGGGTATTTAAACCCTTGTTTTAGTAAAGGGTTGTTGGTTTTTTTGTCCATGTCTGACAAACTAATCCTCAAAAGTCATTACCTCCTAATTTTATACATATATATCTCTCTCTTGCCTTTTTTAACTCCTAGTGGAGCACAGGCCATCAACAGGCCTAATTTTATACATATATATATGTAGTAAGAATTTCTGCAGATAAACATTTAACTCACAATCAAAAATGAAATAAAGTTGACAAACCAAAATGGGTCAATTCCGACTGTAATACACACAGAAAATAAATTGATTCCAAATTCTTCAGAGCTTCTGACACAGAAAAAGGTGACTGCCGTGTATGTGTGTGGGTCAAATCATTGACTAGGCTCCCGGATAGAGAAGGGGGGAAAATGATGCTTGCCCGACGCACACCACCTACGTTTTAAAGCGTATGCAAACCCCCAAAATGAAATCTTAAAGCATAACACTCACTGTCTCACGCACTACCAAAACTTAAAGTTAAACGGGATAATCTGCAGGTTTAATGCATAATATACGCACATCTGTGCGGAATGGGGAGCCCTGGTCTAAAGACACTTCAGTCAGTGGCACTGCTCTGGTGGGGGGAATGGAATCCGCTTAAACTGAAATCTGCGACACTGACATATTTTCCTTCAGTTAGCCATGTTTTCTATTTAGAGAGATAGCTCAAATTTAGAGACGGAAAAAACCCCAGAGTTTCTATTTTATTTTGGTGTACCCTGTTTCTGTATAAACAATGTTCCATTTAAGCAGACTACTGTATTGTTAGAGTAAAGACGTGAAACTTGATGACTGGCAATGGTGACAACAAATACCCCCCCCCCCAGACATCACGTGAAACTCTGAGTTGTTTCGGAGTGGACATTTTATGAATCAATTATGTGTACTGCTTTTATGAGGGAGTTCAATATCTTAGCCGCCAGGTGACAACTTCCATCACTTTCTGGGCTACCTTCGTAATATTGTGTACCTCTGTTGACCGCTGACCGACTCCATACAGACATGACGTAAGCACTACTTGGTTAATACCGAGCTGATCTAGGCAGAGAAACAGACATCAGTCTTTGTTGTGCAGCAGACAAAATTAGGCTTATTATTTTTATTATTATTATTATTATTATTATTATTATTATTATTATTAATAATAATAATATTACCAGTATAATAATTATTATTCTTATTAGTATTCTTGTCATTCTTATTATTTTTATTCTTCTGTTGTTGTTGTTGTTGTTATTATTATTATTATTATTATTATTATTATTATTATTATTATTATCATCATCATTTAAGTTCATTAAAACAAATTCTTTTTCCCTCTCAGCTTGCCGAGAGTCTAGGCATTCCATATATGGAGTGTTACCCGGATGATGACATCATGACTCTGGCCATCATACAGAGACTCACGGAGCACGTGATCAAAGTGGGCATGCGCAGAACGTCTTTCACAATAGAAATCAAGCCGCAACCTGTGGAGACGAAAAAGTCTCAGGTCAAACAAGTCGTCTGTTTATGCTGAGGCCTTGTAGGTCTTTATTGAACTGAGTGATGATAATAAATAGTATTTGTATATCGCATATCCTCTCTCAACACCATGCTCTACGCGCTTTCCACTATATCATTATTACTCCCCGCAGACCCTAGGCCACTCAAAAACATTCTCGGCTTCCTTGGAAGCATAATACAGAGCAAGCAGCGGACTTGACGCTCAAACACTAACAAACAGACAAGACTAACAGATGCAAAGTTTTACCAAGACTCTTCATTTGATTCATTTTCAAAATGTAAGCTTTGCTGCTATAAGTTAACAACAAAGATTAGGCAAATGGGTAAATTTCGCCTTCCCATTGTTGAAATATATGTTGAATATGTCTTCATGCATGACGTCATAGCGGCAACGCAGCAAGCAGCCTGACTGATAGTGAAGACATTTCGTACATTTTTTAGATCCTGACACTTCGGGATGGAGGTCTAACGTTTAATGTTACCAGAGATTGTTTGCATGCTACAAGATTGTTAAATCCCTAATATACCCCCTCCTCCCCAATAATCCGGGTACATTGATAATAATAATAATAATAACTATAATTATAATAATAGCCCTCCCATCTCCTTTTCTGCCTTCCTCTTTTTCCCTTTCCTTGTACGGTTCCTTGTAGGATTGTTTTGGCAAGTCCTGTGGATCTTGTGATATGCCCATGCCATATTAATTTTCGTCTCTTTGCTCTGGCCAGTAGATCTTCATGCTGTCCCACTGCGTCTGTGATTCTGTTCCGTACCTCAGAATTTGAAATGTGGTCTTTGTATGAGATGTCAAGGAGTCAGCGGTTACATCTCATCTATGTTGTCTGAATCCTTTTCTCCAATTCGGCTGTGAGTATCCACAACTCACAGGCCTATAAAATATTGAGATGACCAGTGAGCGCATTAGTCTGATCTTCGAGTTGAACGTGATGTTCTGTCCTTCCAAATAGGCTTCAGTTTTGACAGCGCAGCTGAGACGATTGATCCAAGGTACTTCAAGCTGTTGACGGTTTCAAGTTTCTCGCCTCTGACTTTGATGTCCGCGTTGATGAAATTGGTACTATTGGTCATTAGCTTGGTTTTCTCAACATTGATGTCTATGACGTATGCCGCTGAGGTTGTGTCCTGCCGTTTCATCAGTGTGGCGAGCTCCTGTACTCCTCCTGCTAATCAATCGATGTCATCGACAAAACGCAAGTTTGTGATTGTTCTGCCTCCAATACTGATTTTTCCATTGTGGTCTTCCAGTGTGTCAGTCATGATATTGTTCTAGGAAGATGTTGAAGATAGTGGGAGAGAGTAAACGGCCTTGTCTCACCCCGACCATTTGTCCTGAACCAGTCCCCTATGCTGCCGTTAAGGTAGGCTGCGCTGGAGGCCTTGTCATATTATAGTTGTTGTATGACGTTCATCAGGTTGGCGTTGATGTTGTATTTCCTCATGGTTGCCCATAAAGCTACATACCAGACCCCGTCAAAGGCCTTTTTAAAATCCACGAAGATATGGTATAGATTTTGCTGGTGTTCCTTACTAAAGTCATTTTTCTCTACTTCTTTTGTATGTTTGTCACACTCTTGAGACCCGCCATTTCCGGGGTGCCTTGATAGTCGAACCAGACTTTGTGCTGTTGAAACTAGAGAGGTGATCAGAGTAAGCCCGATTCCCTGTAAGGACTTCTCTGCTGACATCCACTCCTTGGCGCTCATAGGACCTTATGCAGTTGCGAGCACCCACCGTAAAACCTCTATTAAAACTAAAACCGAGAGAGCGCTTTGTTTTACTTGTTACTGCATTTTTTTATGAGACAGAAAGAAATTGAAATACTTGAGGGGTTGTCCTTCAAACCACCAACAGTTTTTTTAAAAAAGTAGTACAATGTAATTTCTTTTAGCATTTCAAGAGTAACGCATCTTGTAGCATACAATCGATGATGATGATGATGACGATGATGATGATGATGATGATGATGATGATGATGATGATGATGATGATGATGATGATGATGATGATGATGAT